TGCGGAACGGTGGATTTGCAACAAAGTTCTTAGAATCCACGACCCAAGTAATGAACTACTAACAGGTAAGTAGTATTTGAAGAAGCATTGGCTATCTTACTGAATATGAATTGAAAGTTGAGACAGGTACATCTCAGCTTTCCTGTATTTTAAATCCATGCAGTTGTAAATGGCAGTAACGTCTTTACTTGACTGAATTTTCTTTTCAATATTTCGGTAAACCATGTCTAATGTGTCGTTGTTAGGGCAAAATTGAGAGAAATTTAGTTCAATGAAAGACAAAAATTAATTGAAGAGACAAGGATCCTTGATTCGTCTAAAGTTTAAGTACGACAGAGCAAATGAGGCGGCTGTTTGACTTTGGATGTACATAGCACACAGTGAGGGAAAAATGGGGGAAAATTAGAAATTCATGTAAAGTGTAGGAAACCTTACTAGTCATTAAGGAAGCAGAATTTAAAATGCATACAAACCTAAATTGCTGACACACGCACACACAGTCATGCGCCGATGATGTTTTCCGCCTACACTACCTGACTTAGAACTATCCGGAATAGAAAATGATGCAAATTATAGTGTCAACTGAGGAGGTGACTTGCAGCAGTTGAAAAGATAATGTTTGTACGGAAACGCGTAAACACCGGCCCTACAATGACCTCAAACATGTGTAGCGCCGTCCTACTGTTAATATCAAAATCCTTTCAGCATAAGGTGACATTCAATTCGATAAAAACCCACTATAAAGGCCAGTGATTGTTTACAATTATACATCTTTATGAAATATTCATAAAAAAATTCAAGGCAGATTAATTATACGAACACATATCGCTTGGAGACATAAAAATACTTAGCAAGCGATGGATGCATGACCATTAACAATGAATAAGGCGGAATTGAGCTCAACCATCGCACAATGACCTGTTGATCAGCGTAGGCGATCACCCAAGTAGTTCAAGACGGGACACACAAGAGAAGACAATCCTAGCTTTATTTGGAACGAATTGCTGCAAATTACGACGAAATAATAATTAAGCAGGGTCCAATTCACCGACTTCGAAAATAAAAAATACGGAAGAGATCGAAACACAGTCGACATACAGAAAGCTAAGGGGTTTACTCTATCTTCTAAGAATTTCAACATATGATAATAAATGATTCAAAACTAAAACGATTGATTGCAGAACATTAAGGGTAAGAACGCGATGGATAATAAGTCACAAGCCAAGTTACAACCACGCTAGAAGGAACCTTACTTAGTGCGGCCAGGCATTGCGCAATAGTCGAAACTCCCAATACAAACATGATAAACAAGAACAGAACGAAAGTGACGACATTCAGTCATACAAACAGCCACACGTTAGTTGATTCGAAAACGTAAACTGAACTACTCGTTAGGATAAAAAATCCTGCTAGTCTACTGGGTGTCCCCGGACTTGTTTACTTATCTTTGGTACTTGGAATTAGTAAAATCAGGATTTATCTTGAAATTCACCATGCATTTTAAAACCCCACTATCGTTGCTGATGTGAGTAATATCTAGTAAATAATCAAAAAACGATTTTTTTCTTTCCGACTTAGACTTATCAGCTTTCTAGTGCTTCCAGTTATTGACTCGAAATATCGACAATCGCTGTGTAAATAGTAAAACCATGACATTGAACAGTTCTTTTAACTAGCAAAAAAGACAATTATAGTCACATCTCAAGTAAGAGGAGGGCGATGGGAATGACAAAAGTTACCAACCTAACGGGTCTAAAGCAAACAACACTGGGGTGATATTTTATAAAGATACAGATAACTGATCCAAACCACTTAATGAGTGAAACCGTGTAGATTAAAACACATTCAAGAGAGGCACACAAAGATGGAAAGTAAAGAAACTATTTTGACATTTCACAACTACAATCAACTTCACATAAATAAGGACATCAGTTAAGTAATTTATGAACTTCGGACAATAGTGGGAGGAGTGCCCTTACACCCCTTATGGTATTGAAACATTTAAAAAAATATCACGATGTTCAAAAAATGTGCATTTGAGAAAATCCACAAAAAACGGCAACGAAAATTAAGGCTCCAAACCATACTTCTATTTGGTGAATCAGAAACCGATTCTTCAGAAAACGAGGTGTGGCCAAACCGCCTTTGATGGTAATCAGGAATTTCTCCAGCAAATTCCTCATTTGCTGAGTTCACCGTGTGTTCATTTGGGAAGGCTATAAACAAAATTACAAAAATTAAGAATTACGCCAGGGTTTAATTAAGAATTAAAAACTAGGTTAGTGAGGAGTATGCGTGTTAGGACGCACTGTATTACCTACGTAAAGGTTAGTTAAAAGTAACCTAATAGAAAAAAAAACACGAATTATTCATGAGTGCAAACTATCAAAAGTACAAAACGACGAAACGCACTTGTAAGTTGACATCCGCTGGTAAGACGAAGAGGTGCTGAAATATCAGAGGATTCGGTAATGTTGATAGGTAAGCAAAGAGGACGACAGCCAGAACCACATTCTGAAATAAACATGCGTCGGAACTCATCAACTATTTCTAAATCACAAAAAACTTTTGGGAAAGTAGTGTAGTCCAGAGCCAAAATAGATCATGAAAAGCGTAAAATAAGTTGCCTTTAATCTCGATATCCACATAACAGGCAAAACAACATTGTCATCAAAAGGCTCTGATAATAAGCTACCTTAAATCTTACCTGAAAATGAGCAGAAGCCTGGAACTAAATTATCAGCACATGTGTCATCAAATTCACACCGTGCATTGGGATTGACAACAGCAATGACCGAGTTTTCGAGCTGACGATTGCTATCAGACTTCGGGGAATGGAGTTTTTTAACCCAACCCATACGGCGGATTTGACGAATAAACTTGTTTACGCCTTTCTTTTGGGAATTTTGGATTCCCTTTTTCAATGAATCTTCGGTTACTGTAGTAACTACATGTTCCACAGTTGTATATGGTTCCATATTACGGTGCAGCTGTTCAACAGCAAAGCAAAGAAAATCCTGTCTGAAGGTTGTGGTAAAAAGCTTCACATTCAGAGCAAATTATCCAACTGAGAACAGCCAATAAAATTTGAAATGTAACATAAGTCCTTGCAAATTTAAAGTGACCAAATATCCGGAGTGTAGGGTCAAAATTCACATCATTTCAAGGTTGAATAACTATTTTAGATATGTGAATATTTATATCAATTTTATATGCTACATAGTCTCTCCTTTACAATCCATAAGTAAAAAAATTAGATATACGTGTATGTTTTCGTAAGTATACTTAAAAATCATTATTCTGCATAAAGTAAAAAAATTTAATTTAATCAAAAGCATAATATTGCATCTATCACTTTGACACACCTCAGAAAGAATGATGCAAGTTGAGATCACCCATTGATCCACACTGCAGCTCTCCGACGCATGATTAAATAACAACGCGTTGGCTATATTGATTTATAATGGTTGAGGATTAATTTTAAGCTCGACGAAACTAAAATGACAACTTAGTATTAAAATAGTTAATGTACATCAACAAGTAATTTGGAAGAGTATGCGTCTTATTCATCTAAAATATTTTGAACTAATAAAGTTCCAATTTTATAAATGACACCATACTGCTTTCACTGCAACTTGTTACAAAATTCTTATAAATGAATAATGCTTTTAGACCCTTTCACTTATCAAACGTTTCCTCGAAACGGCATCAGCAAAGTTTTTTAACGTCGCATGCTTTTAGAATATTTTCTGCCTATTATAAACCCAAGCCATTTGTAGTTAATTTGGTTAGCACAGGCTAAATTATTGAATAGTGTTGTGTGCCAGCACTTAAGTTTGTTTCTTAACCGTACCCAATATCTGAAAATAGAAAAATCTACTTGAAATTAGCTTTTTATTAGCTGCGATATTTACAAATTTATACTCCTAAAAATGTCGCCTGTGTCTGAGGCAATGTAGTATAATGTCTGGTGCATGAACAGTACTGTTTATAAATGAATTTTTTTTAATAGACACTAAGAGATTTTAGATTGTAGTCATAGTCATTTTAGATTACACATTGTGCTTTGCCAGTATATGAAAAATAAACGAATTAAATGCCTTTAAATAAGACCACAAGTCAATGGTATATAACACAAATTAGCATTGCACTGTCTGTGGTTTAGGGACGATTCTAGCCTGTGGCATGTGAAAAAAATCTTTCTAGATGTTAAATTATGTAGCTAGGTATCCCGTGTTAAAAGCCTATTTCGGGACCATTTGGTTATAATAGGCTTATATGGCAGATCAGTATTATCATTGAATATTCGAATTTAATCTTTACATATTAGTCATTTGTTGTCTAAAATGTAAGCATACATCTGATTTTTTTAGTGATAACAGTGCGAAATCGTTCTACTAAAGGCATGAGTCCCGTTTAGATAGACCCTGACACACCCCAGTTATCTGGCTTATTGTGATTTATAATTTGTTATTATTGGCATCACCGTCAAATAAAGTAATAATTGAGTCCTTGAACTACATAGATGCAGAGCACCTGGGCATGGTAAAAGGACATAGGTAGATTTGTATACGTTTGCTGATGCAAAGTACAAACAGGAGACGCCAATATCATGGTTGAAATCATTGTGGACATGGTGCCTTCATATACTCGGTCCAGATTTATCGTGCCCGTTTATTGTCCCCGGCTTGGCTTCTAGAAATATAAAGACAAACTCGTGAGGTGATTGGATATTCGGGCTCTTGCGCTCTACTCGAAACCCTACAGCCACACATAACTGGAAGTCACGCCACGCCTCACTTGATGCGCCGGCAGGGTGCGTTGCTGACTCTTGGCCTACGGTTGGACACCAAGATGGCAGCCCTCTGGTTCGACGTTACAGAATGTTCATTCTATAGGTTTCGAATCCATGATAAAGATGAGGCTTAGACAAAACGAACACCTTATTGGGACAGAAAAGTTCACATTCTGGTCAGTCTGTATGAATGAAAATGGGGGCTTTATGTATCCTTGTCTTGTTCAGCCTGTCTTCCCGTTGGTCCGTTCCGCGGCGCTGCAATGGAGACAGAAAGCTCGTGAGCGGATTGGCTCTCAGTCCCTGGCGCGTCATTAAATGCCCGCGTGACGCCACGCAGCAGGGAGTCGCCCCTCTGGTCCCGTGACGTCGCCTCCATACCGTGCAGATTTCCTTCGACCAATGACTGACCCCCAAGATAGAGGCAATCCGCAATTCCGCTGCAAGTGCCATGAAGCGTGGGGACAGTGAGCCGCCATCTTGGTGTGCGGCCATTTGTCGAGAGTCAGCCACGCGCCGTGTCGGCGCATCACGTGAGGCGTGGAGTGTGTAGAATACCGAGCCCAAGCATGAATAAGACCGGTACATCAAAACAGGCTTTATTGACCAATCAAAAACTAGAGCCACAAGTCAGGCGCCTTCCTTCCAAGTCCACGACGCTGTCCACGCCGCTCATTATATATTGCACCTCATTCGTGTCCTTCTCTAGTTGACTGCTCATCATCTTCGCGTGCCACTGGAACGCTGAGAGACAGAGGACTGGCTGAGGCAAGGTGGTCCAACATGTCTGCGTCCTGATCAGTCGCCACACCACTAGTAACTTCCGGTTGGATGGGGCTGTTGGGCTTCGAATGGAGTGCAAGAGCCCGAATATCCAATTACCTCTCGAATTTTTCGTTATATTTCTAGAAGGCAAGCCGGGGACAATAAGCGGGCAAAATAAATCTGGACCGAGTATATGAAGGCACCATGTCCACAATGATTTCAACCATGATATTGGAGATTGCTGTTTGTACTTTGTAACAATTATATCTGTAATCGTCTCTAAGGCCTCTTATGTTCAGGTATGTTAAAATCCCAAATTTTGATTTTACTAGCTGAAAAATAGCACTTTTTAAGGATTGTAGCGCGATCCGATCCACAAAAATATGTGTGCAAAATGTTATGATGCATTAAGTTTGCCAACAACTTTCAATTGCTACTAATACCATGTCACCAAAACGCTTTAAAAAGTGCTGAATGGGCGATAGTTTTCAGCAAAATCGTATGTGCAAAAACACTTCACATAAAATACTGTGTAAAATTTATGTTTGAGCTAAAGTGTTCTGAAATTGTACAAGGAGATTTTTTATGTCAGGTGATGTGTGGAAAAATTACTTTGACGTATAATTTACACCAACTTTTTAAACCCAGATCGATAGGCAGGAGACAATTATTTTCTACTTCAAATACAACGGCAAAACTGTTAACCCACTTTTGAGCTAATTTGGCTACGATTTAATTGGCTGGGCGACCGCTCGTAATTCAAGATTACTGGTATTTGATGTCAAGTTTAATTAAAGCGTATTTGGCTTTCTACAATGGAGTCCAGTTTACTGGGTATAAATTGCCTTCGCCTTACCACTTTTTTAGCTGGACGTGGGCCCTTTTTCTAGCATTATTTTCGCATGGTAGAAAAACGGACCTCGATTGTGAGCGTGTGCTGCGCATTTTCCAAACACTTGCAATTTTGGAAGTTAGCATATCTTACCTGCCTCTAGAATGTTAGGTCTTCCATGCCTTGTTGAGACTAGTGAGATCTACACCGTTTACAACCGCCATTCAAATTGCTTCACGAATTTTCGTCTTGTGGGGCGTGTTATACTTATATCCTGAGGTATGAATAACGATCGTCTTTTCTATTCATAAGGTCAAAGAGCATGCATATGTGAATAAAATGATGCTTGTTTCGTGGTGTTTCGCTGATGCCACTCGATATCTTTATTATTTTGTCAACATATTCATTGAAACGCCAGGGCTGCTAACATTCTTAAGGTAATTGGTTGATTTTTCATCACTCGCAACTATAGGTACAACTTGTTTTTGGTTCTCTACCCAACCGGTATAATGGTAAGGTCGTACTTTTATCAAACTAATTGTACCCTAAGGGTGAAATCTCCAATATCTTTTATTCACTGCCTCACGCTGCTCATCGGCCATGGATTGGCATTACTATGCCAAATTCTCTTAACTTTGGATTTAGTACGTTTGGGGTTTATTGCGTCTTATTGGTGCTGTATATACCAGGTATGCCTTTAGTTATGCTCACACTTTCTAGGTGCACCCCTCATGTACAGCCATATGTTGGCTCAGCGCCGCAAAATTATGGGACACAAGAAAAAGTCCTCTTGAAGTGCCAACATTTTAGTCCATTTTCGTTTCTATGTGTACTTTTTCTTCTCGAAATTATAGAAAACGTGGGATTCTAATTCAACTCTCAAACTTTGGATTAGCGTATATTTGTCACCTAATTTGCTCCTAAACTCTACCCACCAAGTCGTCACTTCATCTGTATGCTTGAAGTTAATATTTGTAGAACTATTTGAGTTGGTAGAGAAAATTTTTTGAATAAACCCGAGACCTCAGTGCGTTGCGTCAATGTTGGTGCATATTTATTACTGCACTTGCAGAATGAGTATGCATTGCTAGTCTTCAAACTGATCGCCGGTGAACTACTCTGGACACAATTTAAACCCTATCAACATGGGTTCCACGACGTTATGGGAGGCCACTACGCACAAACCTTACGTTCCAGTATGTAAAATTTGGCTGTGAGGGCTTAAGCAATATAGGTCCTTCCAGTCAACGGGTTTATGTTTCATACTTTACTTGACTTTATATCTTGTAAGTTTCTTTTGAGAACGCACCACCTTTCTGCGAGATGCATAGTAGTAGCAAATTATTTTTGTTATACTCACATGGGAGAGCGGTCGCGGAAATAGGCCATTTCGTAGGAACACGAGATTTATTAAGTTAACTAATCTTTATGCTAATTTATGCTGTCATTATGATAACACACCAAGGTTTACTCTAACTGATCTGAGTCGCCGCATTTGATATTTCAGAATCAATAAAACTGTGTTGGAGCTGTGACGTCGCAGGAATTGTGTCATGTCACTTTTTGAGGTTCTGGAAAAACTTTACAGGGGATTACGACTATTTGGGAACACATATTTGCATTACCAGGAAGGCTGCGAATATGCATTGCACAGTTTCTGGCCCAGTTTTTACCGGAAGTAAGTATTACACCAACAGGGTCATCGTGGATTTCAAGAAAACATATTCTGTATACACATCGAACCTCACGGCGTTCAAGTTAAAAACTTATAGCATCAAGGGTCTGGCTTCAGTAGGCAGGTACAAAAGTTTATCAGCCAGTTAAAAGGAATTAGAACTAGGTAGTTTTGGGAATAGTCAGTGCCGACTTTCGTTAAACAAAATCGAAGTTAGATGTAGAACACGCCGTGACATCAGGTAAAAAATTGAAATGAAAACGACAGTTTGAGTAAGGTAGGACTAGAGAAAAAGGCAACTGTCGAAGTAGTTAATAGTCACACCGAGGAGTTCAGGTCGGATCGTCGTGCTTCAGCCGTTCTCAGACCGGCTTGACTATTGACAAGCAAATAAATACGTAACTTCTGTGGACAGGTTTCTTTGATTCATCATGAGTTTCCCACGTAGGTGCACCGAAAACCAACGTCAGACGCTGTGGCTGCTGATGACGGAATTAATAAAGGCGCAATCCCTCCTCGAAAAGCATTTCTGGTACCGAAAATAAGTAGCATTTTTCATTAAGAGAACGCAATCCGAAAAACAGCCATCACCGTAATATGTCAAGAATCTATCAGTATGAACATTTGCACATCCAAAGTATCGCAGTTAAAATGTAGCATATAGCCAGTGTCAAAGTGAAAACTTTTAATCTCTATGATAACATTGGCCCATTAACGTAAAGATCGGTGGTCGTGAGTATTTTCGAAGCTGTCAACGAAGATGACAAAGTCAAAATGTCTGAATTTGCTAACCATTATTGTAATAAGTAGAGAGACGGTTGCGCCTGTTTATGATAACGGTTGGATGGAAAAACAAGTGGGTTTGCCACTCCCGATAGAGTGGTCAAGCCATAATTTACATAGGCAAACGAAACCAAGTGGAAATGGCGCATGTGACCAACAAGAACTTCAAGGTAATTATCAAATAAGTAGTCTGGGAAAGTCAGAGTTCAAAATGCCCGGTAGAGGGCATCTGGTGTATGGACAGCACAAAGCCAGCCATGTGTGGGAGGACAACTGAAAGCTGTGCGATATCTCCTTATTCTGTACGTGTTACAAAGCATGGCACCCACAAATGCACGAGGTGGATGAACATCCAAAAACTGAAACCTTGACTAAAGGAATAGACAAATTATGACTAATCCCTAAGACAGCAAATTTTGTGTATTCATAAAAAATACTACAGGGTCACTAGTATCATTACCATTTAGTTACCCTACCTAGGAAATTACATTCGGTCGACGCGAGTCAGAGCATATAGCCAAGGCACTCCATCGGTCTAGAGTCTCGCAAACATGACGAGCTCAGCCAGTCTTGCACTAAAAAGTTTCTTCCCCAAGAGTCCACCGTTAGGCGTTCTAGTTGAACTTAAAGTATCCATTGTCATTATATTGATAATAAGGGCTGATTTCTATGACTAAGTGGCAGCTAGTTTAAAACAGTACGCAAGTCTTTAATCAGTCTGCAAACTGATTCTAAGTTTCATCAGAAAACGGATCTAAGAATTATTTTTAAGGGCTTTTCTTCTTTCCTATCCAGGCTTGTTTTCTATAGTTAAAACACCAGCGTGAAAGTGTAGAAGCAACTTAAAAAACGACTGCAGATGTCTGCATTACCAGGGATTTAGCTTAGGCTGTGAAAGAGCAAAACAGGAAATGGCTGGAGCGCTACCCTAGTAGTGCAACGATGAATTGTGTGGTGCGTCACTAATGCGCTGATGATACGACTACCACTGCGATGCTCGAATGATTTCGCTTGGCATGCGCAGGCCCTAACATTTGAACATTGATGGATGTCATTTGCACAAATTACAAGTACGATTACCACAAGCTGAGCATTAATGGCATAATCCACGAACTTGAAATGCCCAACAGCAGTAAAATCGGCGGTGTTTATGATACAAAGGTAATCTCGAGAAGATAATTCCACTCAAGCGGAGCCTGATTAAATTAATTCTTTTATTTATTTGAATCTCAGTGTGGGCGATGAAACCCGCAATAAGCATGTTTTTAAGTCATTTACTACCTCATCTCGCTTGTCTTAATTTGCCCGCATATTTTTCGAGCTGTTTGATGTTAAGAAATTTTAAATCAGTTCATTGCTCCTAATTCAAAGCAAACATTTCCTTTTGACTTGTGCGCTGTTTTACCATTTCGATATATTTCTGACAGTGTACGGTTATTATTCAAAAGTGCCTGGTTTATAAGATCCTCTTTTGCCAGTCTACATCAGAGGCATTTGGATTTCGTTTCAACATTCAGCGACAGCTTTGCGTAGAAGGCAGTCAAATTCCGTTGAACTTGCAAACAATTTGGCCACCCATCCTTTTGAAAGACGGCATGAGTGAATTTTAACTACTCATAATTCTTAGCATAGTGTTGCTCAACTTTTTTGTACAAACCTCTGTTGAGTCGCGTCCAGCTTACACTTAGCTTCGACGTTTAGATCCATGACACTCAAAATGCCTCTATTCACAGCTCTGAGAGCCTTAATCTGTAACTGAACTAGCACCAGATATTTTTTCTGTTACATGCAGTACTTTTATACTTTCCATAGTGGAAGGCGGTATAAATTTCTGATTTGTCTGTAGGCAAGACCTTTTTTGTAACAGCAACATAGACATGCTGCGGATGGCCAGTAAAATCAAGGGTAATTAGTCAGGCCAATTATTAGAGGCGGATTTCGCAGTAATGGCTGCTTTCAATTGACTGTGTAAACGCTCAGCCAAACCATTGGATATTGAATGGTATGCTGCAGTTCGAAAATGTTTGCATTCAAGGAGGTGATTAAGATCTTGAAACAAACAAAATCCCGGATTGTGCTCCGCGACCTGATTGTATAGAACTGGGAACACTGAATGACGAAACCCATGATTGCATAATTGCGCGGGGAACAGTTTCGGCCGCACGTCTTTATTGGGTACTGAAATGGGCCAACGAGTAAAACTGTCTACGCAGATAAGTACGTAGATTAAATCACTTGACGTCGGAAGAGGTACAATCAAATATGTTGTGAAATGGTGTTGTGAGAAATAAGACTGATTTAACGAAGGATCAGCTCCATATTAAGTCGTGAAGAGGGCTGTATTTGTACGGGATAACATGCGCGTTTATATAGCTTCGCTAAGCATCGGTCCTTGAACGAACATAGTTACATGGAATGCATTCACGTGAATCGACTGAATCGTGTTCGCTCACCATAGCTAACTGTGCCCGCTTGCTGCTCGCCACAAAAATATATATGTACAAGTCGGAAGCGCGCGTCTGGAAGAGGAACTGTTCAGGTTGCGAAGTATTGTGTCGGTAGACTGCTGTGTTAGCACTGAATGCAGAGTGTAGCCCATAAGCGAACATTTTTACGAACTCTAGGTCAAACAAAACGGACAGTTATAAAGAGCACAGTGGCGCGAACACTAGGATGTGAAAGTGAATGAAGGTGTTCAAGTACTTGCTTTCTAAATGGAGCCGGAACAAAGGGTCGAGGCCTGCCAAGTGACATATCGCAAGTAATTTTTGAAGAACAGTGGGGAAGTTGAAGCTCTTTCAGTCCTAGGCCAGAAGTTTGACGAAACTAGTGTAATTCAATGTACTTCGTCTGCGCCGAAGCTCACTGCTCAAGGTCGATGCCGGGAACTGAAAGGTTACGAATATGTGGTCGGGACAGAGGATTGGCAAAAATGTTATCAGTCCCGTACTGTGAAACGTAGTCAAGGTATCTAGATTCGCGTGGGGTGTACCAATCAGAGGTGCCGATGCTCTCGGCCAGCAGAGTTGGCGCTTTTCGCTAATTTATTACACGGACAAATTCTTAAATTGGTAAAGCTGTCACAACTTGTAGTAGCAGCAGGAACCAATTACAGAGATTTATTAAGATAGCATCACACTAAATACATTAGAAACATATCAATTTTTTGGCTGGGTTTGTCGCATCCAGATCCAATTGTAATTGAACTATTTTTGGAACTTGATGGGCTAAAACATGTGAAATTTAGTTCTTATACATTACAGTTTCTGTCAGTCACAAATTGAAGATTTATTAACGGACTAAGGTTGTCAAAATGAGAAGCAGATGTTTGAAGGTTTGTTAGCGCAATGTGTTAGAAAAACGTCAATAATGCATAAATTTGGCAACTTTCGAAACACAGCTCAACATTTTAACCTAATGGTCAGACTGCTCTTCCTATTACCTAATGTTATAATTGGAAAATCGTAGTGTGTGCTTTGTGAGTAGAATTTGGTGGTGAGAGAATTCTAGGATTTTATAAACAATTCTTAATAACCAAAGCAAAATTAGTGCTTTTTAATCCATTTACACCTAAAACGTAAAAATTAAAAATACGGATAATTTGCAGTTGCTTAGTGTATTTGTGACATTAATTGTTAAGTATGCTGTTTGTCTTTATTGAGAATGAAAACCTCCCCTGATTGATGTTAAAACGTAAGGTGAAACCATTTTAAAATGACGGGTAGACCAAGTTAATGTTTAACATGCAAGAAAATTTTCTAAGACACCAGGGTATCAATTTAAACCACAAAAGCCACACAAAATCAGGTTGGAAATTTAAGAGAATCTGGGAGTGGGTGATAATACTGGCATCCTTGTGCGTCTTAATGACGAACGAAGGAAACTGAAATAAATACATTAAAATATAGGCACTTTGTGTCCTCCCCACCCACTCTAATGAACAAGACTGCAAAGAAAGGATGGCAGAGTGGACTGTTACAGCACGCCTAAAACAATTGAAGGCATAAGATAACGTAGACAAAACAGAGTCACAGAAAAAGCTCCGATCAAGCGGTGCAGAGTTCTGGCTTGTTAATTTTATGCCCGTAAAAAGAGAGAAGGAGCTTTCGAAAGAGTGTTGGCTTGTCAAATTTGAATGCCTCATTAAAACTCCTAGCCAACGCTAATGTTCAGCACGATTTAAAAATTAATGCAATCACGTCCGTCTGGGATGTTCGTTACGAGTAATCAACCAGTGTTTGTGTGCATGTGTTGGTAGGACCGATATGTCTGCATTATCACTGCACGGCATTTCCATAATAATTTCTTGGCTTAAATCAAATGATGAAATCAACGAAAGTTAAACATATTAAAGTAACAATAAATTGCACTATTAGCGTTGCGGTGCTCCTACACGGTTATGTCCCCTTCTACTTAATGTGCCATATTTGTGCTTCTCATTAGTGAATCTCAGTCCTCCCATTACATTTTGCTTGAATTAGAACCTATAATAAAATTTTAGAATGTTGGAAGATACAGTCACTAATTGCCCATTTAAATGCCAGTACTCGCCAAGTGTAAAATTGTCCAAATGTCAGATTGAGATCACTGATATTCCTGTTGTCCACCGGTTTAATTTTATTGACAAAGAATTAGCTCTCGTGTCTTAGTTCAAAGGTTGACACGATATTTGAACGTTCAGACATTTTACATAAAATTTATTCATGTAATATGGGGCATTCCTATCTGTTTTGTTAAAACGGACATAAAACTCCCTACTGTGTTACGTAATGTATTGGATTATGACTTGTAAGCATTGGAAGGCAGAAAAAGGCGTTAATAAATTTATTAATAAAATTATCAGTTTCTTTAGTGGTTAAAGAAGTGTAAGAAAACCGCAATCACTACTTAATCCTTTTTTATTTATTGTTTATTAAGCCAAAATAATATAACAAGGGAAAAATGACATTTAAAAAGGTACGACTTGGTGTCACTCAAAAAGTGATCAAGCTTGAAATGATGGATCAGTACTTGAGAAGACCTTCTGGAACTTTAACAATATAATCATCTAACTTGGGCTAAATTATTATTTTTGAAGTGACCATATTCAAGTCAAATTTCACAGCAAGTACGGTATTTGGACACTCATAAAATGATTTTTGTCACAATTAGTTGGTGACTGCAATTATTTGGAATAAGGTTAGTCTCGAAAAACAGCAATCAAGTGCGATCCTGGCACAGAGCCATTAGCCATTGGTTTTATAGATGGAACAGAAAGCTTGGATTCTAGTGCATTAAAAGCATGTGTAGTTATTAAATAATAACCTCAACCAAGTGTATTTTTTAGCATTGCAAAGTCAAGCAGTTAATTGCATACTTCAAATAACCTTTTAGGTTCCCATTAATTTTCATGATTAAACCTAACCAATAGCGTCAAAAAATAATATATGTAGAATAGTCTTATCTCTCGGAGCTTTGCATTGCTGCCGGGTGTTCTAACAATAAATGCAAACCTTAACTAATATTAGTGGTTATTTTGAGTACTTTTTAGAATTCCTTTAAAATTAGTTTAAATGAAGTGTTATTGTGTTGGTCAATTTAAAATATTTACTGGCAGAATTGACAGTTTCATTGGCTCTATGCGCAAATGGTATGCCACTTTTGAATCTGCGTTTCTAAAATGGTTTAAGTTGTTTAACCATTGATTTTGCTTTCAATATGTTTTTGATTATGCAACACATCTTTTCTTCCCCTATGTTCGGGTTCGTGACTTCGTGTGCTGGGATTTTTAAACGTTAATTGAATTTTAAGAACTGAAAGTTTTTTAAATAAAATATATTTGTAAGGCTTTTTGCTTGGCCGATCGAAATTTTAACTCTGATTTTGGGGTGTCCCAAAAGTAGTTTCTGTGATCACTTTAGCATTGAATATTATCCTCCACAGTCAAGACATCTATGTTGCTCATGCCTTCCTGAAATAAATGAAAAACAATATTTGTTTATTAGCCTGCGGGCCTAGCACTAGTCCATTTTTTATTTATTGTGAGAATTATTGGCTCAACGGCTTAATACTTAGCTATTTCATTTCTCTTCTTTTTAGGCAGAACTTCCACCACTTCAGTTGCCTGCTGGCACGTACAATCCCGTAAACAAGCGTGTTGTGTATGTTGGTAGGTTATTGTCTTTTTCACCCAAATGTAAACATGTGTCATCATTTGGGGTAAACCAAACGGAACGAAATCGGTGGTTTGCACCGCGGTTCTCTAGATTCAGCCAGATCGTTATAGTTAAACTTAACATGTGCCTTTTGAACTAGCCTCAGTCTGTGTCGTTAGAACACTGGTCCACGATGGCTTATGTTATTTGGTTGACAGCGCTGGCAATGTTTCGTCTAACTACATGGCCCCTGTTGCATCCTGGTTTTTAGTTTTTTGGTTACTGATGGCGTCACTTGTATGAGTTAGGAAAGGGTTCACTAATATGAAACCTTGAGTTCCTTATCATAGTCTTCAGATAAATGTGGCCAAAACATACTTAACCCTCCAAAATAAGTAGCCATATTTGCTCTTGTTGTCACGTGCACTTTCGTATCCATGTGTTTGATATAAACCTGGTGATGATCAAGTGTCGCTCTCCGTAACTCTTAGCATTACACATATCACGGTATCAGTCTTGTTTTATGCATTAAACTTGTGGAATTCGGTGGGTCCAGTGACTTTACTAAGCAGCGTAGCTAGATGTTTTGTTATCGCCGACTCTTTTCACTCATTGATGTCCAACAATTTACTTAAGTGGGTTGTTACCTCTACCTTAATAACATGAAGGGAAAGATCAGCCCCGAATTGAAATTATCAGCAGTGCAGGTACTGTGGGTATAATGGCCACGTGGTCTAGGGATCTATTACTTGGCTTGTGGGATCATTTTGTCTTTTTTACTGAGTTGAACTTCACTAACTTAAAAAAACTTATCACTTTCTAGTAGGTGGTGTAAACGGCTTCATGTTTTCAGTTTGAGTCTTTTTTTTTTCGAGATCAGACTTTAAGTGTCGTGCGTTATTATTTTGTACGCAGCTCATTGCGTATCTGTACGTATGCGGACGCTACTGCACAATTCATTGCCAGTTAAGGCAACCTGTAGATGGGACGTAACCATTAGATAACATTGCTACTCTGCCTATTTTTATCTGGGTCTGGTTTTTACAGTCAAGTTCCCAGCGACGCCCCAGAGAACATAACATTGAGTTGATATCCTGAGCTCTAGTGTACCTCTAAACACCCGTGCACATGGTCAATTTCTCCGATTTCTTATTGTGCTACCTCCGATCGCACCTTCCCTTCACTTTCTAGGGGGTCTGGCTGAAGAGGTAGACAAGGAGCTGTTAAGAGCAGCTTTCATTCCATTCGGCGACATTATTGACATAAACATGCCCCTCGATTATCAGACAGGTAGGCGTCGCCGAAGTGCGCTTTTTTTATAATGTCTCTGTTTGCAGAAAAGCACCGCGGATTCGCCTTTATCGAATTTGAGGAAGCCGAAGATGCCATTGCCGCGATTGACAATATGGTAAGCGAGTTCGTCGTTCGGTGGTATAAAATCCACCTTCAAGCAAGTTGAATATGTTTATGGGGACAAAATCCTACGAGTAAAAGGACCGATTCAAATCCTAATGTTGACTTTGATCTGAGTGCTTACGCCCAGTGAGTGGCACAAAGAAATGTGGTCATAAGGGGGTTAGCTAGATCAATTTGTTATGCAGGAGTATGAGGTGACTTCGTAAAGTATCATTCATGGGCCTAGACAACTGAATGCTTTTATTCAGCTTACGCTTTTCTCATAATCGAAGGTTTCCATAATTGAAAATGCCGCAATCTCAAGCATTGATTTACCTAACACAGTAAATCTATTGATGATATTACTACTTTATAAAAAATAAGTAATATTTCCTGCATACCTTCAGAATGAGGGAGAAATTTTCGGCAGAACTATACGTGTCAACGTTGCGCGTCCAGTCCGAATTCGTGAAGGCTATGGAAAAGCAGGTAAAGTGTGCGATCTTAATCGTTTATTTTCAATGTTAATACTGGCTGTAATCAGGCCCTCTAGCATTGCTTTGGTGGCATTTGTAATGCGAGACGATGAGCCTAAAAAAAGACTAGGTTTTTGTTTCACTTTGTAGTGTGGTCGGACGACAACTGGTTGAAGAAGTATGGCGGCTTGGGCGTTGAGGGATCGAAGCCGGACGAGTCGGTTGTTGTTCAGCCCGGCGATCCATCCACTGAAGTCAACCCAGATGAAGAGGTTAGCGGTGTAGTGTCATAGCATCCGGCGCACGCAACCGATGCGTGGGTCAGTTAAGGTTAACCTTGAATCAAAAGTGACGCGACGTTTCATCTGATAATATTGCATCATCCGTTTTCAGCGACTGCAAGTTTACTTCAATGTTTTACACGTCATGGTTGCAAACGTGTGTCGCAATTGCCAGACTACTGCTGTTATTATTGTTATAGCACTTCATGCCAAACCTACGAAAGCACTTGCTAGCATAGGCGAATTAGTCTGAAATCACAAAAACTAACGTTCGTTTGGCGTGTTTGTTTGGAAGGAACAAAATTATGATTCTTTTTGATGAAGATCTCACAATTATGGGCTGTTAGCCTTTAGCCACTTCTTGCGACCAGGTACCACGTTGTGGACTGAATGTAGTGTTGCTTCCTAGCTTTTTGGTTGGTCCACGCAGCCCCGTCTCTCCTCAGCACAAGCGCACTTTGTTCGTGGTGGCCGGGTATCTAATTCAGCTTCATCAGAGTTCTCAGTGTGGAGGCTCCACGTGGGACTCGAACCACAGCCCGGCGAAGAGAGAGAAAGGAGACCGAAGCGATGGGACTCGACCGTTTATTGGTCAGTCAGAGGGTGGCTGTTTATTGCTAGGCACTGAAGTAACCAGGAGCCGAGTAATCGCATTCAATGCTTGCTTGAACTCCCATTCGTCCGTGTCTGGTGAGAACATTTGCGTGGGCGAGCTGATTGCCAACACATGCGTTGGATTGTTTATGCCGTACAGATGAGACCGTTGGGCGCGTCTAATCATCTGATTGTATACCCACGCATTTGGTTGCCTCACTGTGCACGGTCTTTGTCTTTGAAAGTTTGAACCCACGCGGCAAAATGGAAACAACTTCTTTCCCCGTCCTCATCGGGCTCTGGTAACGCACTCCCATTCCCTAGGTTGCGGACGATGGCACACCGGGCGGTAAGAAGACCAAAATCGCGTTGCCGCGCGTCTTCATGGACATCCGCATCGGCGACTCCGACGTGGGTCGGCTTGTCATCGAGCTGCGCAAGGACGTTGTGCCACGCACCGCCGAGAACTTCCGCGCGCTCTGCACCGGCGAGCGTGGCTTCGGCTATCGCAACTCCACCTTCCACCGCATCATTCCACAGTTCATGTGCCAAGGCGGCGACTTCACTCGCGGTGATGGAACCGGCGGCAAGTCAATCTACGGACGCAAATTCGATGATGAAAACTTCCAGCTCCGACACGACGCGCCAGGTATGCCACATTGATAACCACTTCAAGGTTCCAGTAATGAATCGTGTTATAGGGCCGGTCTGGTGCTCACTTATCGACCTTATTAACGCACTTAATTCGTCTTAGACACGGTGCGGTATGGAAATAGAAAATTCCATTTACAGGCGTTGTGGCTCAATTTGTTCTGCTACCAGCAGCCGCTCATATCGTTACCGCTATGAAATTTAATTTCCATTTTGTGCGTGGTGTGTGTTTTCCTTTGCAATCCCTTGACTTGTGGTTTTGCGATTTTTTATGTGGAGTCATCATTTGTAGGTCGATTCAAAGTCAAATCATATTCTTCAAAGAGTTACTTTTTGTTTACGTCAAGTAAGGTGCGTGTGAAGGAGCACTAAGACACTCTCTTTGTGCACGGAACCTTTCTAAAACGTCGCATTATTTAACGAAAAGGCACTTACTACTACTAATACTACATAAAACCAAGATCCTTTCCTCATCTTTTCATCTGATGCATAAATCTTGACGTAAAGAGTACGTATGAGCCGAGACTGTACAGAAATCGATAGTGGACCACATTTTGCACCCAAGTATGTACTTCAGTCAGTTCTCTTTCATTTCAGTTGGTTCTCTGTTTTTTGATGAAACCAATTAAGTAGAGGAAATAAGTCTTGGTGGTTGAGCTGGTTAGTGAGTACCGATCACCGTGTGTATTTCATTTCAAGGTTATTTAGCAAAAGCGTGGCCCTTTGGCAACGGTGGATTGACCCATTCACAAAACCGCCACTCGATGCAATGCCACTACTTTACGCCCCACCAGCGGCTTAAAAAGGGTTTAGACGAATTCTACCCATGGCTATTTGCGTCAAGCAAATCGCCAAGTTATTTGACACGGGGCTCATAAGTGCATATAGTCATCGGGGTTTATTACGCGTGAATTTATCGAAGCACGAGTGAGTAGCACACTGTGCTGTGTACTGATTCGGCACTTCTATTGACGCTTATCCAAAACACACTGAAGCTCTGCAGTAGGCAAGTGTTGGGCTGGGAACTGACAACAGTGGTGCTCCTCATCAAACGTATTTGTGAAACTGACAATTCAAAAGACGCGGCATTGTTGCGGTACCTGTTCTGACTGTAGTTCGTTACAGCTACACATTTCGCCTTGCATGGAGCAGTTAAATGTTTGGTTCTTACTTGATCAGACCCGTCATTCCCCATTACTCGAATGCTAAGATCACTCATTTCTTCGATGAAGTTGTCCAAGGGGAGTTCGTTCAGGCGACACACGCCCGCACCGGTTTTCTCGTTTGGATCGTTAACGTACTCCAATGTGACTGGCCACTTGGCCGGTGTGTCGCATAGCCATTCGTTCTTTTGTGTCTGTGGATTTAGGCGACAGCGTCCACTCGTGACATTCTCAAACAGGTTCAAAGCGGTAGCCTACCTGCCTCTATTTGATGTCTGCTGGTGTAGTACTTGAAAATTCATTTCTTGACCACACCCCGACCTACCGAAGCTTTCCTTGTCTTGTAGGCGTTCTTTCAATGGCTAACTCCGGCCCCAACACCAACGGTTCTCAATTCTTCATTTGCACAGAACCCTGCGATTGGTAAGGAAGCCGTGCTCTCTGCTCAGGTTACACTTTAATTACCAGTTATGCCTTCCGCCTGGTCAGCACACTCAGAAGCTCATTTGAGTTGGTTTTTTTTCACTCTGTGTCCTCGCTTTCCGGGGCTTCTCCTCGGTGACCGCAGAATTTGGACATTCACCACGTTCCCAACAGCTGCCGCCTAATCTGTATGCATGTGTTCATGCCATAGGGACTACTATGGGGTACACGTCGGCCCTAAATTAAAAGTATTCGCTGATCTTGCGCAAGCGTTTATGTGAGCATTACTTGAAGAAGAAAAAAGGAGGACTGGCAGAATCCATTTTTGATTTACATCGGCAATCTTATACACACAGATGTTGTTGCTACTGGGCTTTTATGTCAGCCGAAGTGAACCGTGAAACACTGAACAGCAGCAGCGATAGTCAGCCTGTTTTGCACACTTTGCCGGACGGTTTCGCCAGTTCTGTTGCCCACACGGTGGTACTCGCTCCGGCTATGGAGCCGCGGTTTTCCTTGTTACCTCGAAATGGCGCTCTGCAATTAATTTTCATTTGGAACAGCACGAAACGTTTGCATCTTTTTCAAAGCTGCACCAAGACTCTTAATTGATTACATCTTTTGGAAAAAAACAACAACCAGACCTTCCACTAGCAAACGAGATTAATTTGGATGGAGCGGTGTGCAGAAGTATAGGGCGCAACGGTCAACTTTGATCCGCGTTCCTTATTGACCGTTACGTTTGCATCTGATTATGCGTTAACCTGTCTCGCACTTTTTCGGGGCTAATATCCGTTTGCTGGTGAAAATTGACTGCATGCTTTCGTGTTTCTGAATCTCCTACTGTGTTTTTTGTTTAAAGGCTCGATGGCAAGCACGTGGTGTTCGGTCGTGTCGTTGAAGGCATGAACGTAGTCAAGCGAATAGAGGTGAGCACTCATAATGTCCTTTTCACTAACTGCTTGTTAAACTTACTTTTTCTGGCAAGCGACTGACCAATTATGTATTCTTTCGTACTAGGCTACTGGAACTAAGTCTGGGACACCGAAGGAGCCAGTTCTTGTCACGTATTGTGGCGAGCTTGTGTAATGCCTCGTTCTGTGTCTATTTTTGTACAAAATAAAAATACAACAGACCAATTCGACGTATTTCCGTCAAGAAAGGAGAAGGAGGGGAACGAACAGTTCGCTTTGTATTTAATCGCACCATCATTTGGTGGTGCTCTTTAGTGTCACAGTCGAGTTTCCATCGACTGGTGAGATTCGGACAAGGGAACTGGTCTGGACGTGCTCAGTTTTTCAGATTTCCAATTTGTAACCAGTAGTTGAATGTCCTCATAGGTCACGCTCTGAGCGTAATACAAGAGCTGGGGAATCAGGTGTTACTTCACTTGGGCCATGGCTTGACGCCCCGCGGTTGCGTCGAGCGGGCCATCTTGTCCGAGTCCTGGTTTCGACTCAAGGTCTTCAATGCGAAAGGCAGATTTAGTGGCTGGAATTTAACGCCAAGTCTTGAATTAACTCGAGCACTTAAGCTTAGCAATAAATTATTATGCTTATTTGTTAGCGATTATCATCCCTGACTAATGGAACGCAGTAAATGAAGAAAGGGTTACCTAGCTTAATCTTAGGTGATCAAGTAAACAGTGAGTGATTCTGTACGCTCTCATCGGATAGTTACTGGGGTTCTCAATTGAGTAGCTAGCGTGTCTCATTTGACGACAAATCAAATTGGCGCTCATGATTCGGGGTGTTGGCCCTTTAAGCACTTAAAGTTCAAGGACCAAGTAAAATTGGATTGCAAGCCTGTTGGCGGAAACGGGTGGTTCTACTCCCCATCCCACGTGCTTTAAACACCTACCAACACGGGGTTCGTTTCACCATGATGGCGTTACTGCGTGGAGTTGTCATCAGTCAATCAAGGGATGAACGCAGGTTGAAGACTGGAGTTTCGGCTGCTTGGGGGGACTGCTCACGTAGCATGAGTGTAGACAAGAACGTAAGGTCTTGGGTCTTAAATATGGTTGGCGTTTTGCAACGAATGCGGCTGAGGTGATCTGGAGTGTGGTGATAGCCGATGCATCGTTGGCGTGTGCAGAGGGGTACGTGCGCGAAATCCAAAAGATTAAACAATTTGTCGGCATTATTGACTGCGACACTTTACTTTCACCCAAATCTTGTTCACCTTCAATCACATCGCTTCTCATGGTGCTCAGCTAACACATTTGCCTACCAGCACACTTCCCTAACCATTCGTATAGTACACTGTTTTTACTGGCTAAACTATCATGCGCTAGCTTCCTACCAGGTCTCTCCTACATCGGGTCAGGTCTGTTTGAGTCAAATCACCAATTCGTTAATTCAACTATTTGAAATGCTCTCGCGACCTCTGTGGACAGCTGTCACGCAATTGGGGGGGGGGGTGTTTTGGCCTATTGTTCTGTGCACAGGACTAGCTACTAAATACCTCAAATCAGCATCCATCAGAAAAAAATAAACCTTTTCCTTCATTGAAACGCATTTTCTCGTGTCCAGCGTAAAGTTGATTTCCCTTCTTTCCCAATGTAAATGTGAAAACTAGAAAAGGTTCCTTATCAGATTTAGGGCTGTTTGAAGTTTGCCATAAGATACAACTGAACCGTTTTGACTTGGACTGAAGTTCGGCCGAGAAGGCGTAACACGAAATGCTTTCACAATGGAAGATAACTAGCTTAATTCAGCCAAGTAAATTGTCCCTAAAGATGGACTGAGAGATGGCTATAGTTTGATAAAAAAGCCCATTCAACAAGTAAGAAAAAATATATAATTTAAGTTTACACCTGAAAAAGTTTCATTCATACAGAGAATTTCAACTGAAAATTCTACTCCGAATGTGGCTTGTATCTATAAATACAAATACACGGTTTTGCGGTATTAGTACGAAGCAAAGGGGCGGGCGTCGGGCATTCAGTCCGTGGATGCTGTAGAAAGGTTGGCGAAGAGCGTGGGGCTATCACATTGTATGACAACAGCTGAAGGGTCTGCGCTGGCTACCGTAGTTGAGTGTGTCGGTGGAAAGGAATGGAGAGCCGGGTCTGGGCGGTCTGTGCTCTTCAGCCGGCGAAGTCACTGGGAGAGGTCCCTGTCGAAGCAGGGGGTTAGGAGGGGCCGCATACGAGGCTTGGGAGGAGTAGGGTCTTTTGGGGGTGCGGCTACGGTGATCCCGAGTCGGTGGTGGTGGTCTCTCGCTGGGACACTTGGGCAAGACATCCACTACGGGCACCATGTGGCCGTTGGAGTTTCTCTGCATCGGCCGGACGTAACTGGATGGCGAGGCGCTTGATTCCGAGGGACTCTTGGCTGGGGAGGGAGTGTCACCGGATGTGGTCGTGGACGTGTTAGTGTTGTTATTTAACTCGGGCGAATTCAAGCGCACTCCACTACCATTGGCCCTCAAGTCCTTCAAGTTTTATAAAGGGCAGATTATTAATGCTGTAAAATGGTGAATTTGTCCAAACACATTCATTGATTGTGTTGATGGATTGATGGATTTATCAATTACGTAGTCTATACCGAAAATGTGTGCCTTGAAGTAACATAAGTCAAGGCATAAAACACACGAACGTGAAATTTCCGGAAAGTTTAGCCTTTCGTTGCAAGCGTCAAACATGATTGAACCACATCGTATCTGAAAAGGCCAAATTGTAGCATGTGAAATTGACACCGGAGGCCACTAAACCGTTGTCACTATCGTAAAGATTAAGCTGTGCTATAGCACTTGGATACCGTGGGTTTCAATGGAAATATTTCCTACATCTGTTCAGCTTAAAACTGGAATACCCTCTTGTGGGGATTCAAATCTCGGTCTATGCATAGATCAAACTGGCAGTTACTATGCTACTTTCGGCTTCAGGTCTGCTCGCGTTCAGGTCAAGATAAAGGGACCCTTTCATACCTAAATATACCTTTAGAAGTGGAATTTAGACTTATTTCTGATAGACGACAACAATTTCCCTAGAATAGCACTGGAAAATGTGTGATCGAACAAAGTATCGGTAAAAATTAAGTCACAAGTTGAGGTTATCATAGGCTGGTTTCTGCATGAGATTTACACATCTCACAGTATCTACGAAATGCAAATTAACCGACCCGTACGGCCCTAGGGGGAACAGAAGGAGGGACGTGGATGCGTGTGATCGGGGTTTTCGCGGCCCCGGTCTCGGGCGATGGAATGTCGTGGGGTTTCGTTTTGGGGATGATTGGGAGGATCTGGCGCATTGGTGGGGGCACAGGCTGGCCAGCGGTGACGGGGGGTTTGGGAGGGGGTCGCGGGAGTCTCTCTACCCCGTTCTCGCCCTCTTCACTGGCTATCTTCTCACCCAACAGCTTCTCACTCACAGCCTCCGCGTGGGTTAATCGACGTTTGTCGCGCATTGATGTGCGCAGGATTGAGGTGTTACTACAATTTTGCAATTAATATTCAAGGTTATTTGGAGTGGGTACTGTCAGTCAGTCAACCAGTCAGGCAACATTCTTCCTGCTCTCCTGTTTCCAGATTTCACAAAGTTTTTTGGCAGAGGACTGATACAACAACGGTTACTGCGTTTTCGGAGTTCTGCTAAGCAAGATTAAACCTGTTGAGAGATCTTCACCAGGTCATGCAGTGCATAGGAATTATCAAATGCATGAAAAGATTATTGGTACACAAAATTGGGAAAAAGGATTAACAGATGTCTTCGGTGCCTTAAGAGGAACTGATTCTAATGAAGCAGAGTTCAGTTGGCCTTGTGTGTTAGACGCTGGATCGCGTCTTTAGCGCACCTGACTACTGTTTTATTGTCCGTTTAGATCTCACATGAAAGAATGTCAGTCCAGCAAACCTTATTGGACGTGCACAGTCATTTCAGTTTTTTTCTAGTTTCTATTTTTCAGGGCAAGCTTTGGACTGTCAACAACTGGTATGAACGTGATCGAAATCCGTCACGTGGCTTCGACACTCACCTACCACGATATCTATGGGTGATGAGGCAATCTTGACATCAGCGTTCTCCAAAATGTTGTGTATAAAATTTTTATTAGTGGAGACCGACCAAAGATAGCTTCTAATTATGGACTGTTCCCTTACAAACAAAGAACGTGGACCATTTTATCAAGACAACGGCCAGCTGAATGATGGCATTTGTAATGATTGATTGGGAACACCACAAAAGCCTTGTGACATGTCTCTGCTAGCTCAATAGTGAAGGAAGTAAATCAGTCTAGACCCGTCAGATCAACATTTGAAATGGTTTATAAAAACTGCGAAAATTCTAATCACTACTTATTGTTAATTGTTGGCGAACTTGACAACCAAATGAGCCTTAACTACATAATGATTAAGATACCCAAGGTTCGCAAAATGTTCACGATTTTTCCGGAAAAAGGACACATTGTATTCTAGATTATTTCAGATGTTTCTCAATAATCTTGAATTACGCCCAGAAACTAGGGTGTGTTTGGGCTACTATGACACGACACTCCTGTGTTATTACCTTTAAGGTCGCATCAGGCAGCACTTAGTGCCAGCCGGGCTATGCTAGTGCGTGATTAAAAGTGTCGCGGTAATAGCAGTGGCGACACCGCATTTCCCGAAATTCTCGCAAATTCGCAAAATGACATGCTTGAACAAAGAACACCCAAGCCAGGTGATACGCCCACTTGGAAAACGAAACAGATCACTTTCGCACCTTGTCACTGCAAAGTGTAAAGATTGAATTGTTTCATTTAATTCAAAGAGTGTAACCCACTTTTTACGCAGTGAGGGTCCCCGGCTTCTTATAGTGGTCTGGTTGGGGTTACTCTGCTTGATTGCATTTCGTAGCTCCTCCCGCTTGTCCCAAACCTCCTGAAGCTTCACCTTGAACTCCCTTGAATCGCAAATGGCTACAATATGTAGACAAAGAGGTTCGATCGTGTGTGCTTCAAATTTGGGTTGGGTGAAATAAAATTTTATGACTTGCAACTTCTTTGAGTTTGATTAAATAAACGCCTTGGGAGAGCTAGTTCAAAAAAAACGCAACGTTCCTAGATTTGGTGCTTTTGAAACGAGGCGTGGTTCCAGTGGTAACTGCCCGAAACCTGCCCCAAACTCATTGATATTTTCAAAAACGTTGTCTTACATCTGATTAGTCATAAAGTGCCTAGCTGCCAGAGATAACTATTCTGGTAAGCTATCAAGTCAGCAATGGTAATGTTAAGATTAAGCCAGTAAAAGAAACAATCTTCATATTGTAAAATGGTACTGTAGTATTCACAACAAGAAATAATTAGCTGCTCATCACAATGAATTCACAGGTAAATTTTCACGGTCATGTTCACATGCATAGGACTTTAAAACACTCGCATTGTTATGTTTGGTTAACTAAACTAATGCACAAATTCGGTGGATGCGGTTCATAGGAGATATCAGGTGAATTTCAGGTGACACCAGAACAAAGATGTTGTTTGGCGGTTTCAATTTTGCATCAGAATAATTGCCGCACAACACTTACAACTAAGTCGAGAGTGCGTCTTGTTGTCAGAAAAGAGTACATTTTGTCTAACTCAAAAAATTTAGCAAAAAAATTAGACTATATAAATAGACTTCATTATATACGAACATATGGGTTCCTATTGGCAAAATTATTTGTTGGACAGAAACGCAAAAAACTTATTTAATCCTACATGCAGTTTCAAAAAACCAAAATGATCGATTTTGTAACATACTACGATCACTCTGGCTGACTCTCAACTCCCTCATCACATAAATGAAGGCCACTGCCATAAAGTGTACTTTTTGAGACTAGCTGTGATGGTCGCCACAATCAAACACCCCACAACAACCAAATGCTTAATCAAATCCCAAAAAATGTGGTGAGTGAAGAGCGCCTTCACGGAGGAAAGTCTTGCTTTTCCTCTTGTGATTTCAAAATTAAAAAAAGGCTTGTTTTATCATGCCGGCGAGTGACGCTATTCAGCTCTTGACAAGCCTGCGGCCAAGCGATTGTGTACAATGTGACCGGTAAATGCAGGTTTGAGTCGAATTTGGAACTTGGCGATGGCTCAATCCCGTAAAATTCTATTCATTGAAAAAAGTTTGGAGTGTGAAAAGGGTTGTCTAAAGTAGGCAATGAAGGTCCTCGTAGTTTCTGCAATTATTTTCAGTCATATAGACTGCTGTGTAGAATTTGCTTCGTTTTTCCAGCGCAGATGTGCAAAATAATAGGATTTCTTGGCAATCTGCACAAATACGCACAGTGAGGAGTGACGCGCAGAATCGTTTTCTCAACAAAACGTCGGTGGGCAACCCAAATTTCCTCTATTTACACCTCCTCCAGTGCTATTTTTCGAGAGCCATTACACCACAGGTCAGCACGCCGTAAACTTGCAGTGAATCGTGTTCATTCACGTTCACTAACCTGGTCGTCGCAGTCTCGGACCC